TTTTATACAATTTTTTGCACTCCTCATGTCAAAGCTTTTTGTCATAACTCATAACTAATACCTTCTGCATAACTAAAACATAAATTTCATAAAAACTTATCTTTGTAAAGTGAAAAACGAGTACTGATCTTCACCTTTGTTTGTTTGACGTCGTCGGAAAATTAGAATTTTTTAAAAAAAAATCTATGAAAATTCTATTCTATTCTATTAAAATGTTGCAAAATATATTCGGTAGAATTATAAAGAAAGAATTAAATCCTTTAAAATCTTTAACAAATCTGTATCTTGTTTGCGAGAATTTTGATTTTGATTTTGATTTGTCTTTTTTTTTTTTCAGGTAGTTTACGTGTATCAAGGACTTTTACTGTGGTCTAGGTATTTCTTTAATTCTATTCAATCCAATTCTATTAAATTCTTTGGTTTAATTTATCACTCTTAGATTTTTTTTTTTACAAAATAAAAATCATTAAACTATGGCATTATCTATACTATTGATTGATAATCACTACATAATAAAAATCTTTAATTTGTAGAATATTTTGCCATTGGTTTTTTAAAATTTGAAGAAAGATTAAAAGATTTAACATTTTAATTAGAATTTAAATTATATAAAATTTGAAATATCTTTTTTAAAAACGGATAGTTTAGATTTTAAAACATTTCCCTAATAAAACAATTCTAATTAATTCTGATTAGCATACATGAAAGAAAAAACGATTTTAAAATTTGATTTTCCAAATATGAAAAAACATTTAGTATATTTTTCATATATAATCTAAATTAAATACTTCCATCCTATAAAATATAGCATATTCAACAAATAATTTTTGGATTTTACATTTATAAATATCTAGAAAATATTTCCAGTATAATTAAAACTATATCCTGACCCGCATGTATGTGCGGGATTTCAAATTTTAAGAAAATGTGTTGTAATAAAATTTTTGTAAATATAAAATATTTTGTTGTTTTGGTGATATATATTGTTGTATATATATTATAATATACGCAGAAAACCGTAGAATGCAATTTATATTGTTTATGACACAATAGTTAATGTTGTGAACCATACGTCAAATTTCGGAGTTTGAAATTGAAGAGTAAATTAGAAAAAAAAAATATTATTAGATTAGAATATAATATAGGTTAGATTGATGTAAACAAATATTTATTTTATATATTATTTATAAACCAATCTTAGATTAATTGTGAGATAATCAAAGACGTGGATGTATGCATAATATTTATAGGAAATAGATTGTACATGAAATTAGATTTTTATTTGTGGATGATGACGAAAAATACTAATCTTAATTGCATATTTTAAATTTATGATGACCAAAATATTAAAAAAAAACTTAAATTTCCTATGATCCTTATGCATGCAAATATGGTGATTATGATTGTTCAAATACAAGTAATGAGCTGTTAACAAAATTCTATTAATGTTTGTTTCCAGAAAGAAACTATTCAAGTTTAATAGAAAAAAAAGAATATTGGTGTGAATGAATATTTTCTCATTTTGAAGTATTTGCTTTGAAAATTTAAACATTGGTATTTAAATTATATTTTAATATTTTTTGAAAAAAATAAAATAATTGAATTTAGAAGAATATAAGCTTGTAACAATTTGAGACGAAATAAAATAATTTACTTGATTTGATATATTAATTTATTTGGCTCTAAATAAAATAATTTGGAGATATAGTAACTATTATAATATGTTTTAAAATATATATTTTTATGTAATTGAAATTAATTTTAGTGATATATATTTAAAATAATGAACACTACCCATTTCTAAAAAATATATTTCAGAATTTATATCATTTAAATTCTAATTCAAATGTAAAATATTTTAATCTATACTGAAAATATTATCTAGATATTTAGAACCTAAAATCCAAAATTATTTGTTGAATAGGTTATATTTTAAAGGATGAAACTATTTAGTATAGATTATATATGAAAAATATACTAAATATTTTTTCATATTTGGAAAATAAAATACTAAAATCGTTTTATCATGTATACTACTAATCAGAATTAATTATCATAGTTTTGTTAAGGAAATGTATTAAAATCTAAATTAAATGATAATTTGTTACAATAAATTAGATTTATTAGAAATATCTAATAATATATTACCAAAATAAATAAGTTTATATTTATAAAATTTCGAATTAATAACTTGATTTATTTTTTATAATTTTTTGACAGCAAATAACTTGATTTATTATGGAATCTTTAAACTATTTCCAAAAATATTGGGTAGTTATTATTTTATTGATTTATTTTCTATTATTTAAAAAATGTTTTTTTTTTATTTCTTGAAATTTATAAAAATCAATGGCATTCTATGTAATAATCTAAAACTTAAAGGTTTTTTATTATTTAGTGATTCCCAATTAATAGTATAGATATTTTACATTTTAATTATAATTTAAATGATATAAATATTGAAATATCGTTTTTTAAAAAAGCTATGATAATAGCTACTATATCTCCAAATTATTTTATTTAGAGCTAAATAAATTAATATATATCATATCAAATAAATTATTTTATTTCGTATCAAATTGTTACACACTTTTGGAATATACATTCTTCTAAAGTCGATTATTTTCTTTTTCATCAAAACATTAAAATATAATTTAAGTACCAATGTTTAAAATTTTCAATGCAAATATTTCAAAATGAGAAAATATTATTCACACCAATATTCTTTTTTTTAAAAAAATTTGAATAGGTTCTTTTTTGGAAAAAAAAATTAATAAGATTTTTTTAACAGCTCATTAATTGTATTTGAATAACCATAATTACCATATATGAAAAATATCATAAGTATAAGTTTAATGGGGAAATATCAAAATCGTTGAGATCATAGAAAATTTTAGTTTTTTTTTTTGTCGTCTAGATTTATTATTAATTGCAAATTATGAGAACTGTTACATAGACAATTTTACAACTGACAATTTTTTCTGACCCTTACTAGATTCACGACAGACTACACTTCCTTCTTCGTGATCTTGATGCCTCCATTAATCTGCAAATTTGTTAATAAATCGCAATATCTGGGACTCGAACCCCAGACCTCTTGGTGTAGAAGCATTAATCAACCCTTGGTCAACCAATGGGCCAAGGGGGCTTCCACAGAAAATTTTAGTTTTTTTTTAATATTTTCGTCACCATAAATTTAAAACAATTAAGATTACTTTTTTTTGGTAAAGATTGAATCCACAAATTAAAACCTAATTTTGTGTACAAATATATTTCCTATAGTTTCGTGTATATAAATATTATGGTTATATGCATACGTCCAAAATGTCTAATTTAAATTACAAGCTATTAAAAGATTTACACATTAATTAAAATTAATTCAAAATGATTATCTAAAATTTATTCACATTAAACCCTCTCTTCTTCTTTTTAAGATTTTGATAAGATTTGTTTTTAAAAATTATGGAGCAAGTTTATCAAATAAATTTAAAATATCTATATTTAATATATTTGTCTCATATTAGAAATGCAATCTCTTATGTGACATGAATCGGGGAACGGGTATAGGATATAATGGAACATGGCGAAACCAAACATAATTACGTCCACTTCTAAATATTTGTATTTGTTTAATCATTTTTAACGGTTTTATATACGGTTGATTGATCACAAGTTTAATAAAAATCTAACTAACCATTACTCCATTTTAATTTGATCCCGGTCCGACTGCTAAGTTGTTACGAATTTTTAATACTGCTGAAACCATTATTATTTTAAATATTCAAATATTAATAAGCTAGATTAAAACTAACCTGAAAATTAAACTAAATACCCAACTGATATGAGTTTTGGTTATAAATACTATATAAAATATAAAATATATTTGTTTAATTCAATCTAACTTATATTATGTTTCAAACTAAGATTTTTTCTAATCTATTCTTTAGTTTCAAACTCCAAAATTTGAAATATGGTGCACAACATTAGCTATTGTGTCATAAACAACATAAAATAACATTCTACACTTTTTCGGGTACATTATAATTTATATACTAGATTATATATCACCAAAACAACAAAATAATCTATATTTACTAAAAATTTATTACAACACATTTCTTAAAACATAAAATCCTGCATGTACGTGCGGGTCATGATCTAGTTCTATCTTAATTTATCACTCTTACGATAGTTTTTTTTTATCCAAAAGACTATGTGATTGTGCTCTCATCATCTCCATGTGCATATACAAACTCTAATAATCAAATCTTCTATTATTTTTTCCGGATCTAACTACTTGTTGGTGAATACTTCATCTCTCTTTTTTTTTTTTTTGATCAAACTTCATCTCTCTTTATATTTACTTTCTAAACATATACTAATTAATTTTTATATTTCTTCGCAAATATTATCAAAAGTTTCAACTTAAAAACTGATTTGTTCGATTGATCGTGTATGTGGCATGAAAGAAACCATGGCATATTCTTTTTGTGTTATATTTTAAATCGTAATTTTTTCAGTATATGTCTCGAATCCCCAATTTGTTGGATAGTTTGTTGATAGATTTTATTTCCTACAAACAAAAAAAATATTTCTAGTTCAAATCCTTATCAAACTAGAATCGGTATTTTTTTTTGTTACAACAACTTTCTCTATGTTATAATACATCATATTGGACTTATAACCGGGCTCAATAAGCCCATCAGGGTTATTCATTATGTACTCTAAAACCCTAGGTTTATATGCCTATATATATGTATCGTTATTCATAGAATGGAATAAGATAACAATAAGTTTCACAACACGTTATCAACACGAGTTTGCTCTTAACAACCCTAACCCTAAAAATCGCAAAATACTGTTCACACCGACACTGTTCATCGACACTGTTCGCCGATACTGTTCATCGATACTGTTCATCGACACTGTTCATCGGTACTGTTTATCGATACTGTTCATCGACACTGTTCGCCGATACTGTTCACGCCGACACTGTTCATCGACACTGTTCATCGGTACTGTTCATCGACAGCGTGAGTTACCGAGGTCTTAAGCTCCCGGTTCAATCCGTTCAACCCCAATTGGTGAAAGGTAAAAACAAAACCTTAAAAGCTTAAAGATCAAAAACCTTGTATTACTTAAACCTAACACTCAAAATCGAAAACACTAAGCCATGGCCGAAATCTTAAAACCTAAATCAAATCAAATCCAAAACCGCAATTTTCGTGTATCCCCTAAACCGAAAATCATTCTCGGTTAACTCCTAAACCCGAATATCAATTCGATTCATCGGTTAAACCGATTATCAAACCGGTTCCAAAAATAATAACCGGATCTCAATCTGGGTAAACCGGTTCAAACTGGTTATTCTAAACCGGAAATCAATTCGGCCCAAACCGGAATCTAATATTCCGGTCCAACTTTAAACCATTAAACCGAACTTATGTTCCGTATCCTTAAAATTTAGAAGGTTTTCTCAAATAGAATTTTCCTCATTTAGAAAGTTTCCTCAAATAGAAATTTTCCTCATTTAGAAAGTTTTCCTCAAATAGAAACTTTTCTCATTTAGAAAGCTTCCCTCAAATAGAAACTTTCCTCATTTAGAAGGTTTCCTCAAATAGAAACTTTCCTCATTTAGAAAGTTTTTCTCAAATAGAAACTTTCCTCATTTAGAAAGTTTTTCTCAAATAGAAACTTTCCTCATTTAGAAGGTTTCCTAAAATAGAAACTTTCCTCATTTACAAGGTTTCCTAAAATAGAAACTTTCCTCAAATAGCAAATGACCCGGAATGAAAACTTTCCTCATTTAGAAAGTTTCCCAAATTAGAAACTTTCCTCAAATATAAAGTTTCCTCAAATAGAAAATTTAATTATTTTCATATAACTATCCTTTTAACAAACCCCTAATGAAATCAATTTCATGTTTCAGATGTCAAACATTCAGAAAGTCGAGTTCGAGGCCCTCAAGGTCTCCGGTGAAAACTATCTCGAATGGGCCCTGGACACCAGGATTTTCCTCAACTCAAAGGGACTGGGTGAGTGTATCAAAGCGGATAACACCGCATCTGATAAAGACCGGTCCCAGGCGATATTTCATATCCGCCATCATTTGGCCGCAAGCCTCAAACAGCAATATCTCACTCTTGAGAACCCACTCGAACTTTGGGTGGCCCTGAAAAAACGGTATGATCACCAGAAAACGGTGCTCTTGCCACAAGCCAAGTTTGACTGGAAGGAACTCCGGTTCCAAGATTACAAATCTGTGGATGACTACAACTCCGAACTCTTTCGGATAGTTTCAATCATGAAACTATGTGGTGAAGAGGTGTCTGATAATGATCTCCTCGAGAAAACATTATCCACCTTCCATACCCAAAATATTGTGCTTCAGCAACAATATTGTGCAATGAAACATACATTGTACGAAGATTTGTTATCCTGTTTGCTCTTGGCCGAGAAAAACAATGACCTGTTAATGAGGAACAGTGCCCAGCCCCCGGGATCGGCTCCAGTACCAGATTCCCGCAAAGAATCCTACAATGTCCAGCGAGACAGATCCTCAGATCGTGGCCATGGACATGGGAATGGACGTGGGAATGGACGTGGAAAGCGTGGACGCGGAAACGGACGTGGCAACCGACATAACCTCAGTTATGGTTCCGGTAAAGGCCGTGGTATCTCTAAACCAAACCGCCCTGCCCACCCAACCAATCAGTCTGCCTGTACCAGATGCAGAATGTTCAATCACTGGACAAAGAACTGTCGTACTCCCAAGTTACATTGCGATTTGTATCAGAAACATGGGAAAGCACCTGCTGAAGCTAACATGGCCCAGCAAGTTGATGCTAACGACACCACCACCGAGCCGACCGATCTCATGGACTACGAGACCTCAGATCTCCTCGATTGATTCTATCGTCTGAACACTTGCTTATTTTGATTTTGTTTCTTTTCATTTTGGGGATCTGTTTTATTTTCATTTGCTATTTATTTTCAGACATTTTGATATTTTATTAATTTATGAATCTTATGATTTACTCATTTTTAAATCATACCTCTTGTTTAAATTGAAGATATGAACACTCAAAAGGATATCATAGTGGTGGATAGTGGATCCAGCCACACTATCCTCAAAGACAAGAGTTATTTCATAAATTTAACCATGCAAACCGCGAATATTAGCAAAATAGCGGGTAGCTCGAACTTAATAGAAGGCCACGGCCAGGCCTATGTGTTGTTATCAAACGGCACACATCTGGACATTCCAGATGCATTATACTCACCCAGCTCAAAAAGAAACCTTTTAAGTTTTAAAGATATCAGACTTAATGATTTCCACATAGAAACCCAGGGTGAAGGGAATAAAGAATCCCTACTGATCACTAAGATCACACTTGGCCATAAACAAGTCCTCGAGACTATACCCGCTTTATCTACTGGCCTTTACTATGCCAAGGTCAGTATGATTGAGGCTAATAATGCTCTCAAAGCCCGGTTCCAAGACTACACTATTTGGCATGACCGGCTTGGTCATCCCGGTACAACCATGATGCGGAAATTAATCCAAAGTTCTCAAGGACACACCCTTCGAGAAAACCGAGTCTTCCCTCAGCACCTCATGTGCACAGCTTGCTCCCAAGGGAAGTTGATCACTCGGCCTTCACCAGTAAAAGTGTCCAAAGAGACATTGCATTTTCTGGAAAGAATCCAAGGAGATATCTGTGGTCCCATTCACCCACCTTCTGGGACATTCCGGTACTTCATGGTACTAATAGATGCTTCGACCCGTTGGTCGTATGTATGCCTGTTGTCTTCTCGGAACCAAGCTTTTGCTAGGTTGTTGGCTCAAATCATCAGATTACGAGCCCACTTTCCAGACTTCCCACTAAAGACTATACGTCTTGATAATGCTGGTGAATTCACTTCCCAAGCGTTTAATGATTACTGTATGGCCATGGGGGTGACCGTTGAACATCCTGTGGCACATGTCCATACTCAGAATGGACTTGCTGAATCATTCATTAAACGAATCCAATGGATTGCTCGACCATTACTCATGAGGTCGAAACTCCCGGTCTCAGCTTGGGGACATACAGTATTACATGCTGCTGAACTAATACGCATCCGACCATCTAGTGAGCATAGATATTCCCCATCCCAATTATTACAGGGTCATGAGCCAGACATCTCCCATCTCAAAACATTTGGGTGCTCAGTCTATGTACCCATTGCTCCACCACATAGAACCAAAATGGGACCTCAAAGGAGGATGGGAATATATGTTGGTTTTGATTCTCCCACCATCATCAAATATCTCGAGCCGACCACTGGAGACCTATTTAAGGCCAGATATTTGATGAATCGGTATATCCAACATTGGGTGGAGAGAAACAAAAGCTGGTCAAAGAGCTATCATGGAATCAAACATCCTTAAATTGGCAAGATCCTCGGACTCTAGAATGTGATTCGGAGATCCAAAAGATTATACACTATCAAAAGCTAGCTAATCAATTGCCAGATTCCTTTGCTGACCCGAACAAAGTAACCAAATCGTACATACCAGCTTGTAATGCACCAGTACGAATCACTGTTCCAACGGGACAAGTTCAAGTTGCTACAGAGTCTGCATCACGAAATAAACGTGGCAGACCTCTAGGTTCCAAAGACAAGAATCCACGGAAATCAAAGAAAGGTGCAATAGTTGAAACCGGGATTCCCAATATAACAGACATAGCGCGCGCTGAGACTCACTCTAATGAACCACCAGAAGAGGTTCGGGACGCCGAATCTCTAGGTTCTGACGAGATCGATAACGATGAGATCTCTATCAATTACAACATGTCTGGAACCCAATGGAACAGAAAAGAAGTCGACTTAAATGCACTCTTTGCATACAAAGCAGCACTTGATATTGCGAACACGCAAGAGGATCTAGAACCCACGTCTATCACAGAGTGCACTCATAGAACAGACTGGCTAAAATGGAAAGAAGCCATAAACGTGGAGTTAAAGAGTCTCAAACTCAGGAATGTGTTTGGTCCGATCATCTGGACACCATTCAATGTCAAACCAGTGGGCCGTAAATGGGTCTTTGTGCGTAAAAGAAACGAACTCGGTGAAGTCGTTCGTTATAAAGCACGGCTTGTAGCACAAGGATTCTCACAGAGACCCGGAATCGATTATGAGGAGACTTATTCTCCGGTGGTGGATGCAACTACTTTTCGATTCCTCATAAGTCTGGCCATAAGAGAAAATCTAGATTTGTGGTTAATGGATGTTGTCACCGCATATCTCTATGGGCCCCTCGACAATGAAATATACATGAGATTACCAGATGGCATAGAGCTTAAAGATAAGCATGCATCTCGAGATCAATACTGCATCAGGCTGAACAAATCCTTGTATGGACTGAAACAAAGTGGACGTATGTGGTATAACCGGTTAAGCGAATATCTCATCAGAGAAGGCTACAAAAACGATCCCATCAGTCCATGCATTTTCATCAAGAAATACTCAAACAAAGGATTTGTAATCATAGCAGTTTACGTGGATGACCTAAACATCCTTGGAACATCTGGTGAAATCTCCCAAACAGTCGACTGCTTGAAAGCAGAATTCGAAATGAAAGACCTAGGTAAAACTAAATTCTGTTTGGGTTTACAACTTGAGTACGTTAAAGGAGGAATCCTTGTGCATCAAGCGGCTTACATTGAAAAAGTACTCAAGCGATTCAATATGGACCAGGCCCACCCATTGAACAGCCCAATGGTTGTCCGGAGCCTAGGATTGGACAGTGATCCATTTGGTCCCAAGAAGGACGATGAAGAAATTCTCGGTCCAGAAAAGCCATACCTCAGTGCTGTAGGAGCGTTAATGTACTTGGCTAGTCACACTAGACCAGACATTTGTTTTGCCGTGAACCTCCTAGCTCGCTTCAGCTCATGTCCAACTCAGAGGCACTGGAATGGTATCAAACACCTCCTAAGATACCTTCAAGGTACTAAAGACTTAGGACTGTTTTACACTAACCACAACAAGGATGGACTAGTTGGTTTTGCTGATGCAGGTTATCAATCAGATCCGCACAATGCCAAGTCTCAAACTGGTTATGTGTTCACGCATGGAGGAACAGCTATCTCTTGGAGATCGATAAAGCGGACAATCACTACCACTTCATCAAACCATGCAGAACTTTTGGCCATTCACGAAGCCAGCAGAGAATGTGTTTGGCTACGATCCATGACTCAGCACATCCGATCAGATTGTGGTATGAAAGAAGATAAGGAGCCCACGGTTATGTTTGAAGACAACGCGGCTTGCATTGCTCAACTCAAGGAAGGTTATATCAAAGGAGATCGGACGAAGCACATCCTACCGAAATTCTTCTCAACCTCGGATTGGCAGAAGGATGGTACGATCAGCGTTCAACAGGTCCGATCATGCGATAACTCCGCCGACCTTTTCACCAAATCATTGCCCGCTTCAACACTCCGGAAGCTCATCCAACAAATAGGAATGTGTAGACTTGGAGATCTACGGTGATGCTCTAATCAGGGGGAGTAATGCGTGTTGTACTCTTTTTCCTTCACCATGGTTTTTCCCACTGGGTTTTCCTGGTAAGGTTTTAATGAGGCAACATTCCCCAGCGTATTATCGAGATCCCGATTGACCATCAGGTCCGGTTACTCCGTCCAAGGGGGAGTGTTATAATACATCATATTGGACTTATAACCGGGCCCAATAAGCCCATCAGGGTTATTCATTATGTACTCTAAAACCCTAGGTTTATATGCCTATATATATGTATCGTTATTCATGGAATGGAATAAGATAACAATAAGTTTCACAACACTCTATATATATCATTATATTGTAACATTTTTTCCACTTGTTTGGCTTCCAGAGTGAAGAGAACAGAGAAATATCGAGATGGCTAACGGAGAAGAAGGAAGCATCTTGAAAGCTCTTGACGTTGCGAAGACTCAATGGTACCACTTCACGGCTGTTGTAGTCGCCGGTATGGGTTTTTTCACAGACTCGTATGATCTCTTCGTGATATCTCTCATCACGAAGCTACTTGGCCGGATCTACTATCAGGTTCCTGGCTCCTCCTCTCCTGGAAGCCTCCCTGACGGCATCTCTGCCGCCGTGAGCGGTGTAGCCTTCGCCGGAACGTTTCTCGGACAGATTTTCTTCGGATGTCTTGGTGACAAGCTCGGACGTAAGAGAGTCTATGGTTTGACACTCTTGATCATGACCATTTGCTCCATTGGTTCTGGTCTTTCTCTTGGAAACGATCCGAAAACCGTCATGGTAACTCTCTGCTTCTTCCGTTTCTGGCTCGGGTTTGGCATCGGTGGTGATTATCCTCTCTCGGCTACAATCATGTCCGAGTACGCTAACAAACGTACTCGAGGCGCGTTCATAGCAGCTGTTTTTGGTATGCAAGGAGTTGGGATACTTGCCGCAGGAGGGGTTTCTTTACTTGTCTCGTATATTTTTGAGATTAAGTATCCGTCTCGGGCCTATATATTGGACGGCGCAGCCTCCACCGTCCCACAGGCGGATTACGTGTGGAGGATCATCCTGATGGTCGGAGCCTTACCGGCTCTCTTGACATACTACTGGCGTATGAAGATGCCTGAAACTGCTCGTTACACCGCTCTAGTCGCCAAGAACGCGTAGCAAGCGGCTTCGGATATGACTAAGGTTCTCAACGTTGACATTGAAGCGTCTTCCGCAAAACATGACCAAGCTAGGGTTTCCACAGACGAGTTTGGCTTGTTCTCCAAGAAATTTCTTTGCCGTCACGGAGTTAACCTATTCGGAACAGCCGCTACATGGTTCCTCCTCGACATCGCTTTCTACAGCCAAAACTTGTTCCAAAAGGATATCTTCACCACCATAGGATGGTTACCTTCGGCTAAAACCATGAACGCAATCCAAGAGCTCTACATGATCGCCAAGGCTCA